CCCCTCCTCCTCCCTCCCCCCCCCCCCCCCCTCAAGCCCACAATCCGCGACTAGGATCTGATCTACTCCCTAAACCTACTCCCTACATCTACCCCTTATACCTACCCTGTATACCTACCTCGTATATAAACATGAACATGAAAATAAAAGGGAAAAAAAAAGAAAAAAAGAAAAAACATCACGCTCCGCATCTTCTCCGCCTCAAGGTTCGAGGCTGGAGAATCTTGGATACAGCCGATACAACCGGTAGAGATCTGGTTGGTTGGTGTTCCTCACACAAACACACTACCGGTATGTTCGTATGCATCCTGCTTATTGAGACTCACATCTCGTGTCAAGTGAAATTTAGCAGGTTGGAAGCCCCGGCGCACCCATCAATCCGCAGGTATAGCAGCGAAGCTAATACGACGGTGTAGCCTCACAATCGATGCTCCAACAAAGTACCCATAGCTCACATGTATACGCATGGGAATAGACTAGACACACGGGTAAAGAACTCTTAGTATTTATCTCTTCTTCTTCTCCACCACAACTACTCGCATGATCTATCCATCTATCTATAGCTCCGCAAACCCCTAACCCACACATCAATTCATCCATACACAAACACAGCACACACCACAAGCTTCCCCATCCTCTCAACTCAAAAACGACCTGTACACAGACAACACAAGCCAGCCAACAACTCCATCCTTTCAATCCCGACAGGCTTCTAGCGTGAAGGATATTAGCAATTGCCCCATCGCCGTCAGCCATCTTGCTCATTCCCCCAACATCACCAGAGGGAAAAGAAGAAGGGCTCCAATCGAATGAGGTACCCGTACGCAGTAAAAACACCGAAACAGCCAACACAACAAAACAGCAGAGAAAGGCAACATCGGCAGCAGAGGGTATCGTGATCGTGCCGGGGTGCCGACGATATAAAACACACATGACAAAGACGATTGGGAGCAGAAAAGGCAATGTACAAAGGGCCGGTGTCTCTCTCCATTACAGCATCACCTCAACGGCTGCTTGACATCCTGGACGCCATTTGCAATCACTTCTCTCAGAGACCAGCGAGGCGGGGTAACGACGCCTTGGAGACCATTGGCGCGGCGCCACTCGTCTTCCATTTCCGGGGACACGCCATCTGGAAGGTTGTCAGCTCCACCTGCAATACCGGTGGAGAACTTGAGCTGTAGGATGTTGCCAATCTCGTCACATGCGGCGAGCAGGCGGTCCATGTCGTCCTTGTTATGGGCGGCGGAGACACAGAAGCGGGCGCGGGAGGAGACAAGCGGGGTGGCAGGATATCCAACGATAACGACGGAGATCTTGCGGCGGAGCATTTCGTGGGAGAAAGCAGGCATCTTAGCAGGGTTGTAGAGCATGATTGGGATGATGGGGGAATCGTCGTGACCATAAGTGATGTAACCAAGACGCTTTAGTCCTAAGCGAAGGTAACGCGAGTTGAACGCAATACGTTGCAGACGCTCCTCTCCTTGTCCTGGGCAGGTTTCGCCGGAAATAATCTTGAGAGCGCTGAGGATTTGCATCAGGACTGGAGGGGTGGGTGATTCGCCATAGATGGTAGCAGCATTTGTGGAGCGGAGCTTGTCAATGATATGCTTCTCTGCCGCGACGTAACCGCCATTAGCACCGAAGGACTTGGTCAAGGTTCCCATAAGAATGTCGACCTCGGCAGGATCAATGTTGAAGTAGTCACAGACGCCACGGCCGCGAGGTCCAAGAGCACCAATGGAGTGAGCCTCGTCAACGAAGAGGCTGTACTTGTATCGCTTCTTTAGCTTCAAAAGACCGGGCAAGTCGCACATGGTTCCTTCCATAGAGTAAAGACCCTCGACAACTACCAAAATCTTCTTCCACGGTCGGTGAGTTCTGGGCTGTCCCTGCGAGATGACTTCACGAAGCTTTTGCTCGAGGTCATGCATGTCGTTGTGCTTGAAAGAAGTAATCATAGCCCCAGATAGACGAGCTCCAATGCGAATAGAAGCGTGGTTCAGCTCATCAGAGATGATGAGAGAGCCCTTGCCTACCAGAGCTGGGAAAGAAGTAGCGTTCGTGGAGAATCCCATGGAGAAGACCATAGCAGATGGCTTGCCGACGAACTTTGCGATTCTGTCCTCGACTTCCAGCGCAAGATCTGAAGTTCCTGCATCAGCACGGGGGCTGGCAGCGCTGATACCGTATTTCTTGATGGTCTCCTCAACAGCATCTGCGCAAGGTCCCTCAGACTGGGCAAATCCAAGGTAGTTGTACGAGCTCATGTTGAGAGTTTCGGTGTAGGTGCCAGTGAACTGGTAGTGCTTGTTGAAGTCAGTCGTCTTACGGTCAATCAATGTCATGTATCGCCCCGGGACTCCGGTGATTGGCCGCGCAAAGCAGTCGTCGATTCGCAACTTCAGTCTCCGCACGTAGAAGTTGTCAAAATCACTGTTCAGGGCCGCGTACCCATCGGCAGCCTTCAGCTGCCTGTAGTCATCCGGTCTGAAGCGCTTCCCGAAGAAATCTCTGACATGACCGAAAATGATAAGGACGAGGTAGCTGATGTAGGTAGTCAAGAGGTAGTAGTAGGGGGGTTCGTCGAGCACGTGCTCCATTTTTGTGCCTTCCACGTATTGGCTGACATATCGGTGACTCTGGGCGCCCAGAGGCCCAAATTGCGCGTCGATTCTGGCTTGACGTTTGGCTTCTGCGACAGAGGGGGGCTGGAAGAGAGTCGTGGGGGGCTCGTTCATGTTCGGTTCGCCTGCCTTTGCGGTGGACAGCGATATCATAGGGAGAGACAGTGAAGGGGCAGTGATGGAGGGAGACGGGTTGTTGAGCAGATGCTGTTGCTGGGCCGTAATTGCTTGCAAGAGGGCTGCTTGGGCAGTCTGCTGCTCCTTGCTCTTCGGCGACGAGGAGAAGAATGAGGTCAATCTGTTCGCCTTCGCCAACGAGGGTCTCCGGGTGGTGGATCGATCGGAAGGAGGGGGAATGATCGTGGGGTTGGGGCTGCTGGCAAACGGATTTCTAGGAAGTCTTTGAGGCATTGTGTTCGTAGACCGGGGTCTACTGTCGACCAAGAACGTGGGCGATTGTAGGTGGTCTTAGTCCGTAGGACGAGCGGGAAGAGGGAGGAGATGGGAGTACCCAAAGCAAATAAAGACTGGTATTGTTGACTGTCGTACTGTCGTACGTATGCCTTCGAAAGAATGTGTTCCGGAGAGGTGGCCGCGAGAAGGAGGCTGACTCGTCCGCCCGGAGTGTGAAGAAGGTCAAGGATATCTTGAATATAACGGTCTGAATAAGAGCGCGGCTTGTCAGTCTTTAACGTTCTGGAGTGCAGGCAGTATGAAGATCGGCGACGGATAGAGAACAATGCATCCGGAGAGGGAAGAGAGGGAAGGACGATTCAGGTAGAGGTTCCCAAGAGAAGTTCAGGGGTGAACCTCACTGGCGCTTGGATCGAACGCGAGTTTCAAGCTTCGATTGCCCATCATTGGGTTCATAGAATGTAAGAGATGTGGTATGGGGCATGATAGGATGGATAGTATGCTATGGCAAGGCACGTACCGATAGAAGTATTGCCGATCGATGTTCTGTTCTTCCTTCCTTTCCTTTCGTTCTTTCTTTCTTTCTGCTGGTGGAACGGGGGGATGAGATGGGATAGGATTGGGATGGTATGAGATGAGATGGGACGGAGACGAGACGGATTGGCGACGTTTGTGGTTCGGAGGGGTTGGGCTGTCGGACTCGAGCTCGCGAGGGAGGAGGCGCGGTTGGTTCTAAGGTTGTTCAGGAGGTGAGGTGAGGTAAGGTAAGGTAGAGGTGAGGTGAGGCGCACTCAATGCAATGGAGCGGGCTGATTGACTGGCTGGGCTGGCTGGCTGTCTGGCTGGGTGGCTGGCTACCTTTGCATTTGGCCCCGGGGACCTTGCTTGCGATGTCTCCGACGAATTGAATGACTGACTTTAGCTTGACTAAGCTGCTCGCGCGAATGACCACAATAAAGTGTTACCGACGACGAGGACGAGGACGAGGACGAGGTTGATGGTGGTGACGGGCAGAAGTGAGCGAGTGCAGTGCTGAGGCAGATCCGGAGAAAGAGACACCAGCATGGGAAGTGAGGAGGGGGCACGTGACACAGGAGTATAATAACGATCGGCTTTCTTATGGCCGCTACATCCGCGCAATTCCATAAGTTCTTGATCCTGAGGCATACAACACGCCGCTTTACTCGGCGGGGCAAATTGCATCCACCAAGACCGCCGTTGATTCGTTGATTTGTCTCGGTGAAGACCGAGAACCGAGAAAGGCCTTGGAGGCGCCGCCGCTTTTCACATCTACCGCAGACTTCTCGGATCCGCGGGTTCTCGGGTGGGCGTCGGGCCTGGTTCGTCTGCCGTCGACCCTCGGTCAGCACGATGAAGAAAAACATCAGACCCGGATGTCCGAACCGGCAGCATAAACGAACGCATTCTTTCATCATCGGTACCCACCGCGTCCGAACACCCCATCTCGATCTTCTCCCGATCGATCAGCGCTGCCATCTGCAATACCAATACAAATACAGTAGTAATAGTGCCGGTAAGTACAGGCATTTGAACTACTACTATTACAAAAATGAATCACTTGTCCCAAACGCCCGTTCCATCTGATCGCCAATCGCCAATCGCATAATCCCTTCCTCTTACTGTATTGTAGTGTCACATCTTCGATTTTACTCTTGATGCGTTTGCAATATATATCCATCCCGTCTAGGCCATCCCCGTCATGCTCCTCGGTAGTCACCCCTAGCTGACCGTGACCATCAGGTGATACCTTATATTTCACATCGTGAGAGTTTCGCTCGCTTGGCTAATAGTGGGAGTATCAGCATTTACCCAGACCCCCTTGCTGCATGACTTGGATCTCTCGAATGTACAGTAGTAGTACTATACTACTATACTACTACTACTTATGACTACCTCCCGGAGGAAGCTGGTAGCTATTATCGAATTATGGCCAGGCTTCAATTCCCCTTCCAATACCCCTCGAGCCTGCTCTAAGATGCTTTTCTATCGTAAGAGCATCCTTCATTATTACATCGGATTCCGACCGCCATGCCAGCATCCCCCCGACACCTGAAGAGATTCCGGCAAGCTCACCGGCTACGAGTCACCTAGCTAGCTCATGATCGCGGAGAAGTCGATTGCCTTTCGACATCACTTATTTCCTTATCGCATGATCCGAAACCAGGAGTTGCGGGCGCTAGGAATCTGCATCGGGAAAAAATCGGCGTATGGGTCTGTCGTCCATTCGCTTATACCTCCGTACTTAGCCTAGGTACTACTAACTTGGGCCTCGATTGAAGGTTAGGAGGAATTTCCACGTGGTACCTATTACAACGTATTTTCATACTACTATTTTCATGCACCATGGGAGCAAAGCTTGTGGCTGCAGTTAATGTACCGACAAAGATGGCTGGCTTCGTAGCTGCCGGGAATCATGCCTAGGCAGAATAATCGGCTCCAGGCAAAGAATCGATCGATATCCAGGCCGTACGACCTGCCCACGTTCTGTCACTAAACTCCAAGCCTGCTATCCCGCCCCATTTTTTCCCCCAGATGCAAACGGCCTCGATCTTCTTTCCGAAATCAGCATCATCGTTTCCATCCACTCATCGGTTTTCTTTCCCTTTCTGACTGCGCTCCCGTGGCGGTGTGATGGCCTGAGGCTGTCAGGCCTGTTGGGAGCACGTGCACGCTAGGAGAGGTACATAGACTTCTCCCACCAAAGAGAACTTAGAAATATCATCTTCTTTATATAACACGGCCCCCCCCCTACCATTGAAGTGGTGACTTACGCAGCGACCGACCTGACAATCCCTTGATTCGCAATTAAAGAGCTTAAAACAATATACTAAGAACACAACCATTAAAGAAACAATTTTAGCTCTACCCTTTCCTTCCGAAGAGTTCATCGACAAATCACCGCCTTACTAGCACCTTAATTAAAACCACCTTAACTAAAACCCACGGACTTACAAAAGAAACCACGACTTACAATCAGATAAATAAATAAGGAAGGAACAAAAGAACTCTACCTCGGCTCACCTTCTTTAATAGACTCGGAAAGGAAATACGAAGAGAAAGTCCATCACCTTTAGCACTTACCATTAATATCTTTATCAAGAGAAAAGAGTTCACTTTTAATAGCTTCGATACTTTCTACTTTCGAACAATAAGCATAGCACAAGCTGATTACTGACCTTCTTTCACGAACATATCTATAGTTAGCAAGATCAATAACTTTACTACTACAACTATTAGACATTGAGACTTAATTACCGCTTTCTAACCCTTAAGACCGACCAAGTGTTAAGTTCGTGCTTAAGATCGACATAAAGATTTACAACATAGATGCCTTTGTAAAGATCGAGCAACAACAAGATACTTAAGCAATTAATCAACTGCAGAACTATTGTCTTACTCCCTTTTTTACTACTATTACACTTAAACTTAAAGCAACGGACAAGATGTTAAACTCAAGGATGCCGAGGTTCGACTGTTATAAAGACTACGATAGAAAGATGCCGGCTAAGCTATAGCTAGACCGACTGGATTACGATTTCGAAGTCGATAGCTTCGACAACCTTTCCTTTTCAACGTACCTTAAAGCAATCTCAATCTTGCTAACAAAAGAAGCTAGCAAGAAGTTCAGATCTAATATAAGAATGAGATACATTATAATTAACCGTATTATAGCAATAGAGAAAGAGAAAGCTGAAGTGGTAGAATAACTGAAGACGTAATTTCTTAATAATAAAGAATTGATAAAAAAGCAAGACGTGATCGCCGAAGTTTTTAACTTATAATAAGAACTATAAAAAAGTCTCGCATCTTATTATTCACGAACGGTCGCGCTATTGAAGAAGACTAAAAGAAGAGATCTAAAAAAGAACGAGGTATTATTAATAATAACGAATCAGTTTGATTCGGACAAGTATATACTTAAGTCTATTACGTCGGCTTTTATTAAAAGAGTTATAGACGACAAGCTTCGGACATTAACCTTGACTAACAATGCTTTGCTCTTGCTTTGCTTATAAAAAGCATACGAAACTCTCGTTCTCTTTTAAAGTGCATTCAAAGCATAAAAGAAGATTGAGTCGGATATAAAAAAGATTAAGATATACGAGAGAATGCAAAAGTATATCGAGCATTATGCTGAAGTCTTAGCATAAGTAGCTTTAGCATCCTTTCAAGACACTTTATACGTCGTCGCTTTATTAAACTTTAACTTAAGACTGCCCGCTCAACTTGTGAAGCTAACTTAACGCATCTTAAAACTAAGACAAGATAAAAACTTAACAACTTTATAATAGAATGCTCTCTTTCTTTAAGCATAAAGACAAGGTGGATATCAAAGAAACAACTAGAGACCGAACTATTAAAGCGGGTATACAAACTCTTAGACTTAAAGCAACCCAACTATTAATAGACAAATTAGATAGCAACTGCTTTCACGCTTATCACTTTTAAACGATCCGCTTTTTGCATTACTTCGATTAGCATCTGAATCTAGAAACTAGTTTATTAATAAATCGAAGATCTATAATAGATCGAAAGATAAATCTTTATGCATAAGCTGTGGACAGACTAGCTACTTAAAGACAGCTTGCTTTAATGCTTAACTCTAAGACTAAGAAAAGGCTTATCTTAAAAGAATCTGCTACTTAAAGAAGACGGTCACAGCACACTATCTTAAGATCATTAGCGAAAGGCTATCTTTGTCTAGCTTAAGCTTTAATGCTTTTACTTTAAAGATAAACACATTAACAAGCATCATAAGCATGTCTTTCTAACAGTACACGAACAGCTATAAAACAGCTTCGGTAAAAGAGATACTCGACGAGACTACTAAGACTAACACCGAGTGTAAGATAAGAAGCGTCGGAAATCTTAAATACAAAGTAGCTATTTCAAATAAAAAGGACGCTACGAATGTTAATGTAAAGATAGCAGACAATAGATCGAAGAAGAAACAAAAAGTAGTAAGAGTATTAAAC